GCTGAGGGGTTGCTGAGGGGGCTGCTGAGGGGGCTGGGAATGGGTGAGGGGGCTGCTGAGTGGGCTGGGAAAGGGGGAGTGGGCTTGCACCCCAGCAGAGGGCCCAGACATAACTCTGCAGGGAGACACAAGCTTACTTAGACGCTGGTCCTCTCAGCCTCCTGCTCTCCCTGCACCTTGAAGAAGTGTCAGAGGAAGTGAAGAAAGACAGGGCTTGGGGCGGGAGGGCAAGAGATGCAGCCTCGGGGAGCCCAGCTGGACTGACACTAAGGGACTTCAGTGCCGGCCCCCGGACACCCTGGCCCCGGCTTCCGCTCCCCGGCTCCATGGCCCTCGACCCCCTGACCCCTGGCCCCTGGCCTCTGGCATCCTGGGTCTCTGGCCTCCTTCCTGTGTCCACCGGTTTAAGGCTGTCTTGGCTTTGCCCCTTTTGCTGATCTTTGAGTCGCGCTGCTCCACATGTTATTTCTTCTATCAGAGTTCTCTGATCTCCCATTGTCCCTGCCGTTAACTCCCAGCGTTAAGTTCTTCCCATTTTTGAAAACTTAAAGTGGCTTCCGCTGTTCTGGAGTGACACACAGGTCTGCTTTCAAACAATAGAAAGTCACGCTCCCCCAAAGGCGCCTCCTTGCAAACAAGCTCACATGTCCGAGGCGCCAGCCTTCGTGGTGAGTTCCAGCACAGGCTTACCACTTACCGGCAACAATCTCATTGGAAGAGAAGTCAAGTGTTTACAGTCAGAAAGGTAGTTTTGAAAGAAAAATCACCCGTTTCTTTAAAAGTTTTATAAGGCATCAAAACACATTATCATCCGCAAATTTTCTAAAAGCTTCATCAATATTTAATTTTATTTTAAAAACTACATTAGTTTTAACATTCCAAAGAAAACAGGCTTTTGTTCCAAGGAAAAACGTATCTCGGGGTATGCTTGTTTTTTTTTTTTTTTTTTTTTTTTTAAGATTTTATTTATTCGTACAGAACTGGGGTACAGGCCAGAGATGCGGAGGGTCAGAGGCTTCACCAGAGACAGAGTGGGGTACAGAACAGGCAGATCGACGAAGTACACTGCTGAGAGGAGCAGCGGGCGGGTCAGGAGAGGTCTGCTGCGCCCTGTGGTCACCTCCGGGGCAGGCGGGGATCGAACTCATGCGGAGGTGGCTTATGCTTCTCAGTGCTGTGCTTTAACCCGCTGCGCCGCCAGGGAGGGCCTGGGGTATGCTTGTTTTATCTGATATCTGCCTTTGCACAGTGCAAGGGAGGGAGATATTTATACTAACAACAGATTCTTCTCCTGACTTTATGCCTCTTGCTACTTTTACAAACCAGCAGGAAGACATGACCATAAAACTTTGCAACAGCAGGATGTTCCCTCAAGCTTGGCAAATCTTCGGGTGATCTCAGGAGAAGGTAATGGAAGAATTTTAATGGTTTGCAGAGATTATGTGAACTTCTCTTTTTATTACCTGGGTCTGCTAACACGTGGCAAGATATGACAGCCCGGGACCTCACCGATGAGTCCTGAATCTTCCCGCTGGTCTCTTCAGAACCAATTTGTAGCTAGTTCCTCAGTGCTAAGCTTGAATAGATAGGCTTTTAATAATTAATTTGTTCCTTCAAGTGCTTTGATTTTTCTGATTCATCTTCAGCTGAGTATATATTTGGCAACTCCAAATCTATTGTGCCAAAACAGAACTGTAATGTTGAAAGAGAAAACTTAGACCCCAGCCTCTGTGAGATTCTAGAGAAAGAAGCAAAGATGGTTTCCTCTCTTAATCCTTGAAGACCCCCTTGGTACATCTCATCTTGGTACCCCTCACCCTGGTACCGCTCACCCTGGTACCCCTCACCCTGGTATACCTTACCCTGGTACCCCTCACCCTGGTATACCTCACCCTGGTACCCCTCACGAGAAATGCCACTTCAGTCCAAATTAAAGTGTCCTTTGTGCTGGTTAGCTTGTGCCAGGTGCCATTCGGCCTGTGGGTGCCTTGGCTCACTCTGATGCCTTCCGTATCGCTGCCCTCCTATTCTGGATCTCTGCGCAGTCAGCTGTCACCTCCTCCAGGAAGCCTTCCTTGACTCCACCCCCCTCCCCCGTTCCTGGGGGCAGATGAGGGTGCCTCCTCCGCTGTCTGCAGCTACTCAGCTTGCCGCAGGAGCTTCCCAGGAGACGTCTGTGGGGTCTCTGTGGGGGGTTGTCGCCCCTTCTCCATCTGTGCAGGGCAGCCTGAGCTGCACTGAGCTGATGATGTCCGAAGTCTAGAAAAGGCCTCTGCAGGACTGCAAAAGGCACAGCCTGTGCTCCTGCCCATTTCGGGAACAGCCCGACATTCATCTCGCTGGCACGAGACGGCCCGGGCGCCACGGGCTTGAGTTCTTCCTTCGCCTTTGGCTTCCTTCCTGTCAGAATTGCTCAACCTCCTGTCCTGCATACACTGGACCTCCAGCTCTGAACGGCAAGGACTAAAGCGAGGCAGCGGCTGTGTCGGGCTCCAATTACTAATTCAATCCGTGCATACCTTTCCTGTGAGTCCTGCACGGTTGTATTTTCTTGAGAATGGCCAAACCAAATAATCCTCCAGTCTCCCCCTCCCGAAAAATAGATCTCAGGCAGGCTGGAAGGGCTTTGCAAGCTCACATCGCCACAGGTGCTCCATTCTGGACGGGAGAGCCGGGCGCGCCAGACCTGGGCGCCCGAAGCCCTCCCCACTGGCGTCCTGCCCCTGACCTCCGGGACAGCTCTTACACCCCTCTGCAGCCCCGCCTCTTCCTTTCCAAAATAAGGTGCAAGTCAGCACACAGTGGCTTGGGGGAGGATTGTGCTCTGCAGAGCCTGGGACCTGATGTTCTAAAGTTAGTGAAAATAATAAGCACCCCCATAATTTCAGCTCAGGTTGTTACAGGCTGGACGGTGTCCCTGCAGAATTCATAGGTCCAAGTTGGCAGTGCAGAATGTGGTTCTGCTTGGAGATGGGGTTGCGCAGCCCCCCACACGGGGAGAACGCTCTGGGGGGATGCGGGGGTGCCTCAGCCTGTTGGGAAAGATTGCTGAGCCAAGAAAGCCCGGGGGAGCACGGACGAAAACGGTCGCGCCCCGGGCCAAGGGACCCACCTGCAGGCGCTGCATCGCGGACTCCAGCCTCCACCCCAGACAGGAGCCCTCTGCTCACTGGAGCTGTGGTCCTTTGCCTTTGAGGACACGCGCAGCACTGTCCGTGGAGCAGGCGTGTGGACAGAGCTCAGCCAGGGCGGGCCAAAGCCAGTGCTGCTTTGTGGGGAGCTCCTGGCTTGTCTGTGGTTAATGTGCTGCATGTGCGCCCCATCCACGCCCCCCCCCCCGCAGGTCCCTCACCCCCAGCCTCCCTCCCCTGCACACTCCCTGCATCTCCCCACTACCCTGCAGCCCTGGGCGCATTAGCATCTCTGAGCTCACAGTGCACTTCAGCCATTTGTGACTGCCTTGGCCTGAGGTGAAGCTCAGTCCTTAGGATTTTAAAGCTCTGCACATGATTTCCAAGGGCTTCAGAGGAGACTCTCCCCAAGCCCCTCCTCCTGTACTAGACAGCACCAGCCCTTTGAACAGAGCTGGGGCCACCTCACCCACCTTCTTTCTACCAGGGGGGCCCAGGGGTGCACCAGTGCTGAGGACAGTATCCTGACTTCTGGGCAACAGGTCAATATACAACTTCAGTGACCACACTGTACTGTCCACCAGTCATGTTACAGGACAGCAAATCTGCTAGAGGACAGGGGGAGAGGGGCACCCCTGAAGCCCCAAACCTGCCCGCTCTAAGTGGGTTCTGCCATCCGCCGCATCAAGACAAAACATATAAAACTTTAATGAAAAGGGCTTTTAATACAGTGAATATACAATACGGAACACTAAGAATAGAACTTCTAAATCAAACACCTGAAGTGACCCATCCCCTCGTGGGCAAAAGTCAACCCAAAAGGGACTGGCCCAAAGCAAGGCCTGAAAGCTGCCATGAGCTTAAAGCACCTTCAGGCCGGGACCCATGGAAAAGGGTCAGACATGGCCAGACAGATCTGGGAGGAAAAGAGCAACATCAAAATCAATATAAACACGGCCATAGTCACCTCCCTGCAGGTATCTCACCCACATCTGCCTTAGCCAGTCCAGGGCCAGGAAACAAGCCCGGTTTCTTCATCACATGCTGGCTGCTCCGTGTGGCTTCCTTAGGTCTCCTCCTTTTGTTCTCCATCCTGCTTCATTTCCTTCTCTCCTTTTTCTCTGCTCAGCTCCATCCTCCTTCTGGGTGGGGCAGGGAACCTGGAGCTTCCATTTTTCCTAGGGACCCCCCCGTTACAGTCAGAGCACTGAGCCCCTGACAGCGGCCTCGCTGCCCACCACAGTCTCCTCTCACGTCCGCTGCCCTCGTGGACCAGCGGTCACTTCTCACTGCAGGCGGCATTCTCGCTCTGGCGCCTACAGCATGCCCAGCCTGGCGCATGACAAACAGTCACCACATTTATTCTCAGGCCGATCCAGACGCGAGGATGTCCCGAGCGGTCAGTGCTCCTTGTGAAATGACAGCAGTGATGATAATAAAACTATCAAGAATCAAGGGAGGATGCCCTTTCCCTGTTGAAAACAATGGAGAACTCGCCGCCGTCTATCATCAAACGCCCATTCTGTTGTCAGGGTCTGAAGCTCAGTTGTACGAGCTCCTCCGCTTTATTTCTTCATTTCCACTTTAGTGAAATCATCCAGTAATCTGTCTTTCTCCTCTGACTTACCTCACTTAGCATTATCCCCTCACGATCATCCAAGTTGTCACAAGTGGCAAGAGTTCATCTTCTTTTTCACAGCTGAGTGGTATTAACATAAAGCCCTGGTGTTCCCAGGGGGACGGGGGTGGGGGAGGCAGGTAGGTGGGTGAAGAGGGTAAAGTGATGGATGGAAACCAGACTCTCCACGGTGACCAGGACTCAGTGCACGTGGTCACTGATGCAAAGAGCTGTGCCCTGAGAAATGGAAAAGCATGAAAGGTCAGTTGCAGGCCCTCAGGCCCGCTGCCCTCCTTGCCCCGAAGGCCCTTCTGCTCCTGCTCCTGCTCCTGCTCTGTGCTCTCTGAGCCCCCAGCCTGTGACCCTCCTCACCGGCCGCCCACCTCCTCCTTGCTGCTGAGAAGGTAAAGCACAAGTCTTTTCAACTCTTAGTCCCACAAGCTCCCTCCGCTGTGTCTCCACCCACCAGGGCGGGGTCTCAGGGCTCTTTTAGAACTCCCAGTTCTCTGCAGGTGTCTCTGTGTGTGGTCAGGCGCCGGCCGCTGAGACCGTGACCGTCGTGGCCGTCTCTGAAGGGCCAGGGCTCGGCCAGCCTCCCCAGAGGCAGGATCGCCAGCCTGCCTGTCTCACGAGTGAGTCACATGCATAAGGCACCCACAATGCACCGTCTACTGGGTCTGACAGGGCGAGTGGCGTGAGCGTGAGCGAGGGGGAAAGATGCTGACCTTCCCTGCGAGCGGCCCCTGCCTCCCGGACCGTGCTGGGAGCGCAGCTGTCAGGAGAGGATCTTGCTGCTGGCAAAGGGACCTGCTCCCGTCCTTGGTCGCTCCAGCGGAGCCTCTGGCGCAGACCCCGGCTGCTGCCCTCACCTGCCGGAGTCCTGGAAGCCGGCTCTCCCTGCCTGCCTGCCTGCGGAGCTGAAGGGCAAGGTAGTGCTGGGCTTTCCTCTGGGCCCGGCCCCTCCCACACAGGCCACACCCTGAAAGCCAAAGGCTGTGTCCTTCCGGTGTGTGGAGCACCAGCGCTCCTGGAGTTTCCTCAGCCCCTTGCCAAGGCTCTTCTGAAACCCTTGGTAATGGCGAAGGGATCAGGGTCACAAGTTGGGAAGGAAAGGAGGGAGGGCGGTGGGAAGGAGGGAGAGGGGGAGGAGGGGAGGGAACTGGGAGTAAAGAAGGGGGAGGGAGGGGAGGGGAGAGGGAAGGAAGAGGGAGGGGAGGGGAGGGGAGAGGGAAGGAGGGAGGGAGCTCCTGGCAGGTCCTCCCAAGACAGCAGCTGAACAGTATTGTGGGACCTTGCCAGGCCGTCTCCTGTCCGCCTGCTTGGGCTCTTCAAACACACCTGGTGGCCCCCAAGTCCATAGGAAGAGCCTGTGGCGAAAGGCGACACCCACATTCTGGCTAGGGAATGGCGCCAGGTGTGTTCAGTTTGCCCAGGGCGCCTCTTCCCAGTTTCTCCTTTGGTCCCTCTCCCTTGGGCCCTAGTTCTTTGCCTCCTCCCAGGAATCAGGAATTGATTCCACCTTAGGGCCTGCCTGGGCCTCCACCCTCCAGCTTCCAACCGCCAGGACCCCCACCCCTCCCCAGCGCCCTCAGGGCACACCTGCGGCTCTGTATGGTCTCTGTCTCCTGGCTTCTCTGTCTCCTGGCTTCTCTGCTGAAAGTGCAGTTAGAGCTCGTCCAGGCTCCATGGACCCCTGGAGCTTGTCCTTTACCCCAGCCCACCCAGGCCACTGCCCAGCAGAGAGCGGGGCTCACCTGGCACCGTCGGTGCACACCAGGCCGCTCTGTCCCGGGCGCCACCTGGCGTCAGCCGTGCCCGCCGGCCGGGCCGCGTTGTGTCCCTCCTGTCTGCGGGACGCCTGGCCGCTGGGCGCTGACCAGGCAGCAGGCCCCTCCTTCGTGTGTCCAGATTTCTGAGTCCACCATGGTCTCGCTCCACTTTCTTTCTTTACTTGTTCTTTTCCCTTTCCTCAAATCGTTAAAAATTCTCGAATCCTTAGAAAGGACAGACCAGCGTGAGCGAAGGAAGGAAGGACACACTCAGAGCCACCAGGCCAGAGTCCTAGAGAGAGGCACGTCCCACGGAACAGCCTTTATGCAACAATCCACCTGTTTCTTGGGCACGTACTGTGTCCCCTGAAGGCCGGTGTAGGGGAGCAGCCGCCGGGCGGCCTGTGGGGTTAGAGAATGTCAACACCTGCTCCACAGCCTCCTGGGAGTCTGGGCGGGCTCTGCCCCCAGGACCTGTCCGTCTCTCCCAGCACTTCGCGGCTTGTCCTGGTGACAAAATGAGGCCGAGCTCGCAAAGCCTCCCCAACAGGGCGCCCGCACAGCCAACTAAATGTCAGCTCCCCGCCATTTCCAGGCAGTAGGGAGCGGGGCGGCCGCCCTCGGCAAGTTTGGATGACAAAACCCCAGTTGCTGTCCCAGCTCCCTCAGCTTCCGCCTCCCTCAGCTTCTGCCAACGCTGCCTGGACAGCACTTTCTCCTCTGTAGATTAGCAATTGGCCCGGGGCAGACTTATTTTTAAAAACTAGCATAAAGCTGGGATGCACAGTTGGGGTCAGTGCGAGAGAATTAATGATTCCATTACAGAGAAAAGTTACCCAGCAGATGGAGCCCAGGGGGAGCCCACGGTGCCAGGGCATCCCATTCACGGAGGATAAAATGCTGCTGTCTGCCGGGGAATAGCTACATGCATCTGAGACCGTCACCGCCTGGTGAACGGCTCCGTCAGCCTGGAATTGGGTATTTTTTTCACTCTACTTTCAGACAATGTACCATGTTAACTGACCCGGCCTACAGGGTATCCAGAAAGGAGCAGGCCAAGTAAGTGAAAGAAAGAAAGTGCTGCTGTGACTCCTGTCGACAGGGACCCTCCATCCTGCCAGCTGGCTCCTCCCCAGCCCCCAACGCAGGAAGTCTGGGTCCCTGGGACCCCGCCTTTTCCCAGCCTCCCTGGCTGTGCTTGGCATGTGGAAAGTAACACCCACCTTGCCCACGTGTTCCAGGAGTAACTGACCCAAGGCCTCCACGGCCTACACTTGGCGATATACGATGTGGGCTTCAGCATGGCTCGTCTGCCCCAGGTCTGGCCTACAGAGCTTTCTCTGGAACGTGCTCCTTAGAAGTCCCGATCTAGCTGAACCGAAGCCATAGTCAGGCAATAATTCCTCCTAGAAATCTTCCCTGTCCTTCCCAGTCCAGGCAGACCTGACACTTCTAACTCACGGCACGTGTGACTAGAACTGTTGCTTTACAAGTTTTGGATCAGAGACTGGTAACCGATGAGGCAGTCTGAAGAGTCCAGCACTTTCCTCTCTCCCATCTTAGCAGAGCTGGGCTAGGCCAGCCCACAGTTGGCCACTTGTAAATACCATCAGTACGAATGCGTACGTGCGTGTGGGTTTGTAAGAACTGGAGTGTGGGCCGGAGGTTCAGCGCATGAGAGGAATCAGCAGAGACAGAGTGGAGAGCAGGGGACAGGTGAGGTCTGCTGCGCCATGCGGGTCAGCTCCCTGGCTGGGGATCGAAGTCAGGTCATTTGGTGATACTGCTGAGACCGAAGCCCTACGCCACCAGCGAGGCCCAGTGAAACCACTGTTTGAGAAGCAGGGCCATGTCCATTCTTCTTGGCAGCTTAGTGCCCAGCTCTGTTCTGGAACCATATCAGGATCCCAGGGCCACAGGCCGGGGGAGGAACAAAGGAGGCTTATTTCCTCATAGCTGTGGAGTCTGGAAGCCCCGGTCAGGTCTCTTCACAGCCCCCCACCGCTTTCTTCCCATCTCTGGGAGCCGCAGGAGTCTCCCGGCTTATATCATACCCCGCCTCCCCCCACACACCCGACACACACACACATCTGCCTGTGTTATCACATGGTGTTCTCTGAGTGTGTCTGTCTGAGAGCTCAGCAGATGTGTTTATAGCATCACAGTCTCTCAAGGTTGATGTAGGATTTTTCCAGCATGGACCTTAAGATTCTTCAGCTTCTACCCATTATCTGATTCCTAAGACACTCCCTCACTTTTAGGACAGGATGGGGAGTGAAACAGGTTGGTGGGGAAAGGGATCATGTAAGAGGAGGTACAAGTCTATACATTATAAGCTACAGAACCGGGATTTTGGAGTCTGTTTCAGACTTTTTTGTGCTCACAAGTTAAAGAAATGACAGTACCATGGACTGCTCATGATGCAACAGCTGAGCTCACACCGTCCATAGATCCCAGAGGCCTGGGCTGGGACACTCATTGCGTGTCCTAATGAACATGTCCTTCTCAGTAGCACCGCACACCTGACACCAAAATCCGTGTCAGTCAGGATTTCCAGAGAAACAGAACTAAAAGCTGTGTGTGTGTGTGTGTCAAAATGTGTGTGTAGATGGCTAGAACAACAAAGATACAGTCAGGTCATTTTCTGAAAGAATTCACTCATGCCATTGTGGGTCAGGCAAGCTTGAAATGGGTAGCAAAGTCGACAGGTCAGGGATTCAGGAAGGATTCTGCTTCAGCCTCGATGGAGAATCTCTCCTTCCCCAGGGAGCCTCTGTGCTTGAGCTCGAGGTCTTTAACTGGCTGGCTGAGGCCACCACATCATCCAGAGTCATCCTTTCCCTCAGATTCTGGTGTGACCCATTCGTCATGTCCACAGCCTCATTGGTGCCGACCCACAACTGGACCAAGGTCTAGACAGAGAGCACCGTCGGATGGAGCTGGGCGTCCTGGCCAGCTCTTCCCTTCACCGCTGACCTCCTCGGTATCATGAGCAATTCACGTGCCTTTCATTTCTTTAATTTGAAGACAGAAGAAAGTCTGGAGCAGACTCCAATTCCCAGTTCTGTAGCTCATCATATGTAGACTCGTCCCTCCTCGTACATGAGCCCTTCCCTTCGGCCTTTATTTCACTGCGAGTCCTGCCCTAATTCCCACCCCAGGCCTCCTTGCTCCTCCGTCCTCACTGCTGAGCTCACACCGTGGGCCTTAGAGCCTGAGGTGGCAGGCTCATCAGGTAGCCTAATAAATATGTCCCTCTCAATAGGAGGAAAAGATATCTCGAGAAGAGGATGATTCAGTTGGCCAACAGAAGGCCCGTTTCCTTGTATCCTGCAGCATAAAATGATAAAGCACGTTGCCAGGCCTGGGCTGGAAGCAGAGACCCTGGATGCAGGTATGCAAACCCCATGAGCTGTTCGAGTACCTGGTGAACAAATTGAACAGAGAGCGCGGTGGAGGGTAACAAGCACACACCGGTGCCCTCACCGTCTTGGGCATATGGCAGGTTTTTTCCACACATTTTGTTTTCTTTAGCCCCAAAGTCTTCCTAATATTTCAGAGTCCTGCTGTGATTTTCCAGTAGAATGAAATTACAGCAGCTCGAAATTATATCGATAATTATATCTGCTCAGAGGAGGGTGCATGCGCGTTCCAAGCTAGCTAACAGGACCTCGCACGGCAGTGGGGAAGGCGGCTTCTTTGTGCCAGATAATTAGCTAGAGCATTTCAACAAGCAAGTTGACAGGAGAGACTGTGAGGTCATTCAAACCTGAGAAATTTTCCTCTGTCATCTACTCCACAGAAGTTCCAGCTTCCTTATTTGAAAATTATAAATATTAATATATTCACCTCAGAGAATTGTGATGATGGAATAATCATTTTCTTTCTTTTTAAGATTTATTTTATTTATTTATGCGTATAAGAACTGGGGTGTAGCAAGAGCTGCAGGGGGTGAGAGACAGAGCGGGGAGCAGAAGGGGCAGATCCACTGAAATCCAGGGCTGAGGGGAGCAGCGGGGAGACAGGAGAGGTCTGCTGCACCCTGGGGTCCCTCCCTGGGCGGGATGGAGCTCAGGAGGCAGTGGCTGGCGGTAGCTTGATAGCGCTGAGATTAATGCCACCAAGGAGGCGCCATTTTCACTTTTGATGAAGCACGTGCCAAGTCACCTGCGAGGTGGCCTGGCCAATGTTGCACATCTCTCCACGTGCCCCCTTCAGGTTTTACGCTGCCTTGGTTGATCCTGAAGGCAATCTAATGGGAACCACGGGATTAAAAGTTAGACCCCTTTTCTACCCAAGGTGGCTGGAGTCACACAGGACTTATGAATGGGCAGTGACATTGACGAGGACCAGCTCCCACCAAGCAAAGCTGCTCAGCTTAGCCGAGGTAGAATGCAAGGTCTCGCTCTTCACCCAGGGCCGTCTTGAAGAGTTCATTTCTGCAGTTCTCTACCTCTTGTTTGGCTCAATTGATGTTCTAAAGAAGAGAGGAGGAAGAGAGGGAGAGAGAAAGGGAGGGAGGGACGAGAGAGGGAAAAGGAATGGGTGGGGGAGGGAGGAAGTTGGGGAGGCGGAAAAAGACAGCTGATCAGTGCGCACATTTGGGGAATCATATTCAGATGGGAGCTACACGGACCAGCAAGGCCATCGGTAGAGTGCGCGGGTCCCAGGGTGATTTCCTCAAGGCCAAGATGCTGATGAGGGTTCTGAAGTTCAGCAGAAACCAACCAGCAGAATGAAATATAGATCCACACTGAGTCAGCGCATAAATAATGAATGCTTGATGGATTGGATGAATCAGTGAGTGGATAGAGGAATCAAAAATATCTAACAAGCCTCTGACTGCTCTGTTTGCCATTCCATGGCGGGAAAAAGAAACCGAAAGCGAGGAAGCCCAAGACCGGCCCAGGCCAAACCTGAAGAGAACGTTTCCATCAGAATGCTTTTGGCTACGGGGAGCAGACAGCATTGCCGACAGCGGCAGGATCAGGCGAGTTTGTGAGGAATCTGTCAGCGCAGGAGTTCTCCAGATAGAAGCTCGACTCTCTCAGTTCCGAGTCTCTGCATGGTCTCTCCTGCTGTCTGGCACTGCTGGCGTGTGTCCTCTTGCACAAAAGAACCACTGCGGCCTGGGTCCCTGACTTCCCTGCCGCCGTCCACTCTCCTCTGCTTTGCTGACATCCAGCAGCGCTGCAGGGCCATCTGGGTGTGCTGCTCTTCACCCAGCTGACTCCCTTTAGCTTCAGCTCGCCCGGAGGAAGGGCCCAGGCCTGCGATACTGTCCCCGTTTCAGAGGTTAATCACAAGCACGGTTTGTCTGTGCTCCGAATTAAAAGAGAGGACCCCAAGGCCCTCTAGAGTTATTCACTTGCCAGTTACTACAAAGGGTAGTAAGACAGCCAGACAACGGGTCAGAGGGCACTGGGACAGTTCCCTTCTGTCCTGGGAAGTCTGGGCCGCCTCCTGGCATGGGGCTGCTTTCTTCCTCATCAACCTGGTGAGGCCGAGGCTCAGAGATCTTCTGGGTTTTCCTGGAGGCTCCATCACATAAGAGGGCTGATTTAATCACCATCCATGGGCTATTGAATTTAATCCGCAGCCCCTGTCCTCTCTCTGGAGGGTGGGGCTTAGGGCCCCAAATCTCCATCCTCTAATCAAGGCTGGTTTCCTAATAGCCAGCCCCTTTCCTTAGGGCCTTTCCAAAAGTTATTAGCAAAAAGTTGGAATAATTAAAATGGAGTTGTGAATTACAGAAGACATTCAATTCACCTTTATTGCTTAGAGCTATTTCTGAAACAAGTTAAAACTAGATACTATAGCAAATGATGTCCCTATGGCTATAGGAAATCACAAGGGTTTGGGGTAAGTCAGAAGCGGTAGGGAAAGGCCAAATACGTACTTTTTAAAAATGTGTATTTATTTCTGCAAACAAGAACTGGGGTACAGGCCAGAGGTGTGGCGGGGGTGAGAGCATTCACCGGAGACAGAGTGAGGAGCAGAACAAGAAGATCTACTGAAATATACTGCTGAGGGGAGCAGCAGGTGGGTCAGAAGTTTGCCAGGCCGTGTGGGTCACCTCCTGACTGGGGATCGAACTTGTGCTGCAGTGGCTGTAGAGAGCTTCATAGTGCTGCGCTTCAACCTGTTGCGCCACCAGGGAGAGTGCCCAAATATATATTTTTTATTGTAAATCACACACCACCTCTTGGCTTGCCCTTTATGACCTGAGGATGCAGCCAAAGCCTCAAGCATCACTCCCTTGTACGATGAATTTGAGATATGGGGAACAGGTTCATTTTCCTGACTGCCATTGGTCAGAATTGATGAGTGACAGAATTGATACATGACAACTTTGGAAAGGCCCTAAGGAAAGGGGCTGGCTATTAGGGAAACCAACCTTGATTAGAGGATGGAGATTTGGGGCCCTAAGCCCCACCCTCCAGAGAGAGGACAGGGGCTGCGGATTAAGTTCAATAGTCCATGGATGTGATTAAATCAGCCCTCTTATGTAATGGAGCCTCCATAGTTAATCACATATCCTTGATTAATTGAAGGAAAGGCTGGAGGAAAATGTACCTTGCATTTCAGCCTTTGGAGGGAACAGAATTGGAAGCTCCTAGAAGATTCAGGGCGGGGATGGCTGCTGGCTCTGGGCAGTGATATCTGCACATCAGTTTTGTGAGCACAAAAGAGAAGACTTGCTGATACAGATGTGGGATCTCTGCTGAACTGATGCAAGTCAAATACAGTAAATAGATTTACAGTATAACTTTTATTTTCTTGTGCTTCTCCTCTATAGAAGATTCTCCCATGATAACAATGAATTTCTCTTAAATGTCACATCCATAGCTATGCAGAAAATGTCTTTTATCTTCCTTAATATTATACCTTGTCCATGACATTAAACAGACGGAGCCAAGCATGAAACAAAGCAAGGAGATGGCTGTGCGATGTGACGGGAAGCTAAACGCTGTAGCGTGAGCTTCTGCGGGAAGAGTTGCTTTTTAAAAAATATCTATTTATTTATGCATCTAAGTATTGGGGTACAGGCTAGAGATGCAGGAGTGAGAGGATTCACCAGAGACAGAGTGGGGAGCAGAACAGGCAAATCGACAACATCTACTGCTGAGGGGAGGCAGGAGAAGTGTGCCAGGCCCTGTGGGCCACTCTCTGGTCTGGGATGGAGCTTTGCTGCAGGGGCTGCCGAGAGCTTCTCAGTGCAGTTCTTTAACCCATTGAACCACCAGGGAGGGCCGAGGGTTATTTTATTTTATTTTTTTTTATGATGAGTTAACTAGCAAGAAGTCAGGAGGCAAGACTCAAATATGTCTCCCCAAATGGGGACCCTGCATGGCTGTATAACAGGGGAGAATGGACGGGGGTACATGATGGGAATGCAGAGAAGATGGACTTGCAGAATTGGATTAATTACAAATTAAATTGGTCCACATATGGAAAGTGTTTCTGGATGCTTGGGATGAACCTTCGCTTCTAAATGTGTTCTTGGTTTTCCCAGTTTCTCTTCTGGTTTCCTAATTCCATGTCAGCAGTTTCTTTATTCTGATGGGCTTGGAACTTGGTTTACAGTTAATTGTTTCTGTGCATGCTCAGATTATATGACTCAAAGGTGAGCATCATGCTCCGTTGTCTCTGTAAGATCAGAAGGTAGTTAAACATGCATCTGGGGAGTTAGCCGTGGTTGCAAGAAGAGGCGAAGATCTATTGCATGCCAGACTCTTTCCTGGGCATTTCACAGACATCATCTCATGTAGTCCTTTCACTAACGTGATGTGGCAAGCGTTAGCAGGAGCTACAGGCTTACTAGCTCAAGTCTTGCCAGCAATCTGAGACTCAAAGGGGCGGAGAGAAGGAGTCCTGCTGTAGCTCACACCACTCCAAAGAGCATCCTTGAGGACACCTACCTGCTGGGAGGCCATTCTACAAAACTGTGACTACTCCACGCTCCTTTGTTAATGCTCCAGCTGGTAAAACTCAGCACTGCTAACAGGCAGATGTCCCTTTTAAGCCATCTCTTATTTATTAATTTACTACATCACAAAGCCTCACACTGTAAGGCCCGCCTTCATCCTCAAGAAAATCTATACAGATTGTACGATGATAGCCATAAATCGCATTCAAAATGACTCTGAGACTAAAAATACCGGAGGGTTTGCCTGAGGTTTGCAAAACCTTTCATCCAAAAGATTACGTAATTTGTTTTTAACCTACACATTCATTATTCACTCAGCAGATATTAACAGTGTCTGTCATGCGTCAAGCCCCGTACACATATAGGTGTTTCTACATGTTGATTTGTGATGGGTCTTTAGTACAGCAAAAATTTCCTGAGTCTCTACTCTGTGCCAGATATCACGATAGTCTGAAAAGTTCAAGAAACAAGCAGAACTAGGTCTCTGCCCTCAGGAACATTGTTACCTGAGAATTACTCATCAATGATTTCAGAAAGAAAAAAACTGTCTCCTGCCCTTTTCCCTAATGTGAACTGGCAGTTGAACTGTATTAAGTTACCGGAAGCGGAGGAAGTTTCCACCGAGTGCTCAGGTGCTTGTCAGGCTGCTCAGGCAATCAGACCAACATCACACTTTGGAAGGAGGAAAAAATGAATTACATACAAATGGAGAGTCCACGTAGATGTGGAGCTCAAAGTCATTGGGACAAATTTAGGGTACATGAGCTAAACGAAGGAACAGAATAGAGGTTCGGGCTTCTGGGAGGGGGAGGGGACTCGTAAGGTAACGAGGGGTGGCTTGTACGACGCATGCCAGACTTCCATTGTGCACGTGTTTGTCTTGCTATAGAGATGGGCTTGTCTAGTAGAAAAGCTGCTTCTAGCGAGCCCCAGTTCGGGGGAAGGCTCTCTCTCTTCACTTGTCTTGGTAGCTACGGGGGTGGTGTAAGGTTCTCAGACGCTCGGGGCCCGCATTGGCCTGGGCTCAGCGTGATCCAGGGGTTGCTCGCTCTGAGCCTCCTGGAGGCTGGTGCTTCGGAGTCAACCTACGCGCTGATGCTTCTGTGCCCACCCACTCCTCTGCACGCCGCCCACTCAGAAGGCCCGTCCTCAGCCTGCTTAATCTGGGTGCCTTCCCCTGACCCTCCACTGGGCACCCAAGAGGACACCGTGGGGAAATGGGAGGTGGAGGAGACAAGACAAAGTTCAGGTTGTCGCTTCTCTGCTCCTTCTCACTTTAGCGCTGTGAGTCTGGGGAGGGCAGACTCACAGGACTGAGGTCCCCCCTGCTCCCCCCACCCTCTGGCCATGCCCCAAAAGTCCAGGGCTTATGGGGCTCCAGTAACATCGATGCCTTTTTATGTTTCCGGTCATAGACATCTCTGGGTGTTTCAGTCTCTTTGTTCTTTTAACCTGGCACCGATTTCTATAGAGGCCTTCATTAAAATCCCCCCATTTGAACCATCTGGGGAAAATTCTGCTTCCTAGGGGGCCCTGGCTACTCACATTGAACCTGGCAAACATGTAGCCATCACCCAGTCTTTCCTTTTCATTGTGCAGGGACTGACATCAGGTTGCAAGAGATTCAGCTGCCTGAGGCCATCCGTTCTCCCCCATCTTGTGGGAAGAATGCGCACCAGGCCCTGCCTCGGGGGCCCAGGTGTCTGCACCCCACCCCCCTCCCAGGTGAGGACCCCTTCTGTGGGGTCAGAATCAACTTTGCACAACGAACTGTCCCTTCTGCAGGCTTCAGTCTGCAAGCTCAGGACATGAACGAACTGAGTCATCCCCACAGAGCTTCATTAATTTTAAGGCAATTTAAGATTTCTGAGTCATAGGCTTCAGTCATTTAGACTTTCCCAGCTGGTAAGGTACTGCACACATTTTTCTTTAGAGATTGCATCTCTGTCTAGCTGTGAGGCTTTGCCCACTTTTCATCAGATTGCAAGAAGCCACCAGGCCGGGCGACCCCTCCCGATCTCTGCCATTGCCATCTCCGGCTCCTTTTCATCTTGCCCTGAGAGCTGATGCCATTAGCCGTCTGCAGCTTCCTCGGACTCTCTCCACCGGAAACACTCACAATTCCAAATTCTGTATCCAACACAATGTTTTAGCCAGCCTCCAAGGAAACTCAGCTGGACCATATGGTGACTCCACTCACTGAATAATATTTAGCAACTTGATGAACAAGGGCTGAATCATATCTCAGCCATCTTGGCCAAACATTGTTTTATATAGCAACAGTATTAGCAATATATATGTTTTATTTTTTACACCAGCACTTCCTGCTACGCCCACTGCAAATTAAGAGCTAGACCTCACTGCACAATAGAAGAGTTCGGGCATTAGGGATCTTCAATTCCATTTTGCATTGTGTGCGTGATCCATTCAGAAGGGCTGCTGTGGCTGTCCCTCCAGAACAGCTGCTGGGATTGAGCAACAGTCTCCCAGGGTGACACGGCAGGGGGTCCTGGGGCATTTCCCAGACAGGGAAACAAAGGAGCTGTATCCCAGGGAGGACGGGCTGGAGGCCTCTCCCTCCCGACTCCACCAAGGCCCATGTCCCCGGGACATGGGGAACACTAAGTCTTGTGGGGGGCCC